TGAATGTCATTTAGGTAAAAAAGTTCTTGAATTAAAAATGCTCAGCTGTAATTAAGCAGCTGGTTGTCTTGCTGGCAGCCTCGTCTTCGGCACTGTTACCGCTGATGATAAAATATTGTGGCGCCGTGGGCCGGCCGGCTCGGTGGGGGCACCAGTCTGACTCCACGGTGGTGTGGCTGGTGCCCTTGCTGGACCAACCGGGAGACCCTACCGTGCCAGCGCTAGGAGGTGTCTTTGGGCGGCCTAAAGAGTTCGGGTTTTGTTGTGAGTCTTTGGACGGACAAGTTGATTGTGTTGCCGAAATAAACGAGTTTTGCCCTTGAAAACAAAAGTCCTGAGCCTAGTGTGCTTTCTTACCTACGTGTGAAACCCATTAGACCATTGGAGTGTTACAATATCAATGAGTAGAAGGATGACAGCTGGTACTGGTATCCAGCTGTCATCCAGTGGGTAAGTTAAGTTGAGGTACTTAATACAAGTCTTGAAGGGGCAAAACGTTTTGATAATCAATGATAAATAAATGTAGCAGCTTGCCTAAATGAGAAGGGTTAAGCCCAGCCTGATGCCAGACTGGTGAAACTATTCTGCAACCCTGCAAAGAGTTCTTTAAATATTGTTTACAATTCCCAACAATTGTAGGAATGTGTATGCATATGCATGTGTAAACATATAGTTCTGTGCCTAATGCGAATGGTGGGACGTCTGCCCCAGGACTGGCTGCTAATGGTTTAATCTCCCTAATGATATCCAATAGCATGTCATTTCATATGACTAGCAAAATCCACTTTGAATGAGACCAGTCCTCTTTTACTACCTTTTAGAGTTCTGATAGGTGTCAAAGCTTCCTTTCAGTCCTGAAAGACTTACATGACGGGCTACTATAGTCACTTTGCACCATCATGTGACACCATAGCGACCATTACTATAATGCCATGATGCATGGCATTCTCATATCTCTGAACAATACTGGAGCCAGTGACCCAAACACTTAATCAGGGCAGTTATGGCGGACAGTAGTTCGGAACGCATCCCTTCACTCCCAAAATACACAGACTCTCTTTCTCCAAATGACCTAAATAAGTACACGAAAAAGCCGCAGTTGATTGACAATATCAACCCCTACAATGTCAGTAGGCATCTTTTTTTCAGACTCGATGGAGATGTGGCTGCAAATTGAATTTCAGGATGTTAAGACCTACTTCTTGTTGAGCACAAGTCGCTACACAAAGGAACAGATAAAAGTCCGTAAAACCCTGAAGGCCTATCAGTATTTTGTGGCTGGCTGGGATTGACACATCTATGTCGGCAAAGCAACAGATACGTTAAAGATTTTGATCGCAAAAGGTCGGTAGTCTCTTAACCTGTTAACACATTTATTCTCTGATTCCTGAGACACTGATCACCAATCAGTGACATTTCTAAGCCAATTAAACTCATCCTTAGGCGAAGTTAGCCCAAGCAATGACATGTTCTAATGTAGAGATAATGGCCCAGGACTGAATGAACTTTGAAGTACAGAGTCTATCCAGTGCGGGCCGTAGCCTAGACTAAGGCTGGGCCTAATTTGAGTAACTTTTGGACCTGGATCGCCCGACCAGGTCCAAATGTTAAACAAGGCGATTTGTAGAGACCAAGTTACTCAAACTAGGATGGGCCAAACTTAAAACTTTAGGCAAAATGTGTGAAAATAAGAAAACTACAGAACACCCTCGACAAGAACACTGCAAAATGTATGAAGTGTACATTTTTCCAACATTGGCTTTCTTTAGTTAGTTTTTGGTAAATGAAATGTCTAGCCAGCTAAATTGTACAGCGCCCTCTTCGATGTACCCAATGTGACCCACGTACATTCTACCACCAATGTTCTGACCTCTTCATGTGGTCAGTTGTTGCCTTGTTCACAGTTTATTCTGTAGTTGACTGGAGGAAGTTGAATCAGTGGAGTGACAGTGGAGTGAAACTTCACAAAATAATTTATTGTGATGATCTGTGGCTAACTACTGTTGTATTCTCTTGTTGGTTTCTTAAAATGAAGGTAAACCACTCTAAGTGCATACATGAGACTCCACTGCCAGTTTCGGCAAAGTTTGCCTCGCATGTTTGGGCTCTACTGTTTGTAATGGAAGCTGGAGTGTGCTTCCTAAATCAAGATCTGTCCATCTGTTCTCTGTAAGTGAATTATGCCAAAACCTATCTCTAGTGTACCAGGAGTACTTGTGAAAGGTGCAGACGGAGCTCTTCTGTGTATTAACACAGCCACGAATCGAGGTCGGATTGTAAATCGAGGACGTCCTCAGTTCGCAATAAGGTGAAATTTGAGGCCGCAGTC